GCTGGGCCAGGCTGAAAGCAGGAGGCAGCAGCTCAATGCAGTTCTGCCCCGGTGCCAGGGCCTGCTGCCTCCCATAGAGGCCATTAGCATGAAGCTAGACAGGATGCGGGCAGCCCAGCTTGCCCACTCTGACCGCTAGACCAAATCCCTACCCATTAAACAGTTTCTTATGAACTGTTTTCCAGTCTTAAAGCCGTAGAAATTCTGGTGGCATATAAACCTCTTAAGAAGAAAGAAGTGGAGAACTTCCCAAATTAATTTTGCATAGGAGTTTGATATTGTGCCAATATTGGTTGATGAACTGCGAAAATGCCTCGTCTCACAAAAGTGAGCTCATAGGTTAGAGATCTGAACAATTTCTAATGAAGGTATCCGCACAGTGCCCGCTGCTGTGGTCAGCAGGGCCCCTCGCCCATGACCATGACCAAACAGATGAATGTGTTACACAGTAGATCCAAGCATAAAAATCATGTGACCGTCTGGTATCAAAGGTCATTTGATGTTCTTTATGACTGCTTCTACTTTTGAACCATGTGCAGGGGCCAGCAGAGTGCTTCGTCACTGTGGCGTACAGCATGGAGCTTGCCCCGTGTGCCCTTCCGGCAGTGAGGCACTACAGGAGCTGTTGTAAATGCTTGGCTGATTGTCACCCATGGAGAGCCACTTGCACACGTGCAGGGCTGTTTTGCAGTTTTCTTTGTGAGTGAATTTTGTTTTAAAGATTTATTTTTATTGGAAAGGCAGATATACAGAAAGGAGAGACAGAGAGGAAGATCTTCCGTCCGATGGTTCACTCCCCAAGTGAGCACAATGGCTGGAGCTGAGCCCATCCAAAGCCAGGAGCTTCTTCCAGATCTCCCACTGAGCTGCAGGGTCCCAAAGCTTTGGGCCGTCCTCTGCTGCTTTCCCAGGCCACAAGCAGTGAGCTGGATAGGAAATGAGGCTGCTGGGATTATAACTGGTGCCTATATGGGATCCCAGCATGTTGAAGGTGAGGACTTTAGCCACTAGGCTATCATGCCTGACCCATGAGCAAATCTTTAAAAATAACTGAAGTGCTCAGTAATTGGGAGCTGGTTAAATAAATCAGGGCAGATTTACAAGATACGACACCCAGAGGCTTTTTACCCTAACTGTGGTATAGCTCAAGGTGCCAGTTTGCAAAGATTTGTTCTTTTTTGTTTTGTTTTTTGTTTTTTTTTTTCCTTTATTTGTCTGTATTTTTGACAATCTTTACACAGTTAATTAGGGCACAAAGGCTCCACATTTTTTTCTGTATCTGGGGTAAAGGGGGAAGTAAAGGGAGAAGCCCCACCCAGTCTTCCACCCACCCCAGGTCCCCGATGTAGGGCATGCGCCAAGGGCCCTGCTCAAGTGGTTTGATAGTTCAACAGTTATGAATTGCTGCCAATCTCATCATTCCAAGCACGATGAAATCTCCAGAATCTACTGGCTGACATAATTCACCTTAGAGTCTCCATTTGCCCAGTTTTTCACTGCCAGCTTATGGCTGGGGTAGTTGGTTGATTTGTTCTGTCCTCTGTTGTGGTGCCAGGTGTCCTCTGCAGGTTCCAATGGACTGCCATATCCTCCATGTGCGCCTGGGTATGCTGTCCACTGCTCCGTCTGAGCCTCTGAAGAGGCTCGGCTCTGGCACTTGCACTCCACGGCAGACCATGGAGCCTGCACTTCTCTTCATGGTTAGGGTTCTGAGTCCAGCAGTTCAATTGGGGAGATCCGCAAAGAAACTGTCTGAGGTGTTCCCAGATCGGATTCTCATATGTACTTGCAATTACGGTGCCTGGTACAGTCCATCACCCCAATGAGCTGGTGGTTGCAATTGCTGGGTCGGTGGAAAGATTTATTCTAGCATGGGTCACTCTGAGTTGGCTTTGAGCTTTCTAGCGATTGCGCGATGCATTGTCTTTGTGCCACGGTAAGCTTGTGGCAGTGACAGTCACCTTTGCTGCAGCTGCAGGATTGGCTTTACTCTCATCACGGTGATTCCTCCCTCGTGTGTGTGCGCTACAGCATGATCAGTTACTCATAGTTTATGTTAGGAAAAAATAGTTTAAATGCTCAAATTGAAAGTATTTTAATAACTTGGAGGTTGTTCTATGACATTAGTCTGCATGTGTCTGGCTTGCGAGGTCATTCTCCCATCTCCTTTTAGTATCTCTCCCTGTAGGTTTGGAGAGTGACAGGGAAACAGGAAAGAGATGTGACTTGCCTGTTCTAAGTGTACCTCTCATTGTGCTCGCACTGGATAAAACGATTTAGCTTTTCTGAATGTGCCCTTCCAAGTAACTGCACTATACACGCTCAGCTCTGCAGGCCGGTACGGACTGCTGCAGCCAAGGCCCATCCCTAAGTGCACATTCAGATGACTCTGGGCTGTCGCCAAACCATCAAATTCAATTTGGGGGATTTTTTTTTTTAGTGGGCAGTGGGGGTGCTAATCTTTCACATTCATTTATTTAGGTGGAATATAGATTCAACAGACAGCATGAATCTTCAAGCTAGAGTGAGCCTTCGGGGTGCTCTCAGCCTGTGCCCGCCTGGCAGCTGAGGTGGCATTGTCGCTACTGCTCTGCCTGTTCCACAGAGCCACCTACCTCGCTGCCTGCTGAGAGCAGAGCCCTGATGCTCCCTCCCGATTTGGAATGGCCTGGCTATGGACATCAGAGCCCTTTGGTTTGGAAAGACTCCTTCTGCACTGGCCCCGGGATGGTTCTTATTTTGTCACTGCTCTTCAGCCAGGACTCCAGCAGCAGGTTGCACCTGAGAGTGCATCCATGGGAGGGTTCCCTGGGGGCAGGAGGTGGGGGTGTTCTGCTGGGAAGTAGCTTCTGCGTGCGTTGCTTTCAGGAGCAGAGGACTTGCCGGTCTTGAGTGACCAGGCAGTGTCACAAATAAACCCTCCAGTGGGTTTTAAAACCATTTCACTTGGAAGAACCGGATATTCTACTGTTCCATGCAGATGTCTGTTGGTTCCAGCGAAATAGATGTGGTTAGTATCTCAAACTGAATATTTGACTTTTTCTTTTTATTTTGCTCCTTTTCTAAATTAAGTCTGCAGTCGTACAATGAAATGCACAGATCTGAAGTGAATGCTTTCTTCTGAGTTTTGACAGTGATAGAAAGTTTCTGTGAGCATTCATGTGTACATTTATTTGTGGACATATATTTTTATTTTGGGTAAATACTCAGAAATTGAATTGGTAGGTTGATAAGTAGATTCAAATTTAACTTCGTGAGAATCTGTTCAATAGTTTTTTTTTTCTAAACTGGTTTTGCCATTTTTGTTTCCCTTCCACTGTGCTGAGTTTTTAATCCTGAAGGTTAAGCCAAAATACAGATTACTATAGATAATTAGACTTAACAGGAAACCCATACATTCAATTCAATAAAGACACAGTGCAGGCAGTTCACTTCTGTCAATCCTAGCCACTCTCCTCTTCGGAGCTGTTGCTAACCACCCACCAAGCAAAAGGCTGTAATCCAAGATTTAATTATTTTTATTTGAAAGGCAGAATTTACAGAGAGAAGGAGAGACAGGGAAAGAGGTATTTCCATCTGCTGGTTTACTCCCCAAATGGCTGCAATGGCTGGAGCTGAGCCAATCCAAAGTCAGGAGCCAGAAGCTTCTCTGAGGTCTCCCACACGGGTGCAGGGTCCCAAAACATTGGGAGATCCTATGCTGTTTTCCCAGGCAGGAAGCTGAATGGCAAGTGGAGCATCCGGGATTTGAACCAGTGCCCTTATGGGATGCTGATGCTTGTAGATGGTATATTAACTTGTTGAACCACCGTGCCAGCCCCCCGCGCACCACATTCACTTTCATAAGGATTAATCTATAGTGCAATTCCAGATTGTTTTGCTTATCTAATCAGTGCAAGGTCTACTTGTTAATTGTATCTTGTATTTCAAAACAAAGATACATAGCTGCAAAGTTTGTTTATGTTGAAATTGTTCCTTAATAGTTTATTCCTAGAATCGGTTTCTCATCCTGAGATCTAGCGGCCCTTTGCTGTCTGTCTACTTATTTATAACTTGTCTTATTCAACAATGTTTAAAGGGGGTATATAGGTTAATGCATTGAGAAGTAGGTGCTTAACCACCATTTCCTATCTTGTCCACAGAGTGGCACTGTGGGATTACTTAAAAATTAAAAGCCACCTACCATTTAGTTTCTCCTAGTGGTTCCAGGTATTTGTTTCAATGGCTCTGGAAGACTAGTTTCTGTACACTGAAGCACGTAGCGGCTTATGCCCAGTGGGAAATGAATGGGCCTCAGCACTGGCTGGGCTGCCAAGAGTCTGCTTGTCGTGTACATCTCACTCCCAGTGAGCGCAGCTGCTGGGTGGGATTTCACAGACGGCTCATGAAAATGAAGCCTTTAGCTTTGCTTTTTCATTCGATCAGTCATAGTTTGTTTGCATTTACTTACACATCTGCATTGATAAGGACATGCTTTATGAGCCGAACACTCTCTGTTCAGCTAATGTAAGTGGTACTGACTGCTGGTGGCCAGTCACATCCACACTGCTACAACTCGCCGTCCCTGCGGAGTGCCTGGAGAGTGCACACACAGCTGCTCCTCCCTTCTGAAGGCACGCTCCTTCTGCTTGCACACTGAGGAGCTGGCCATGCACACTGTGGCCCTGTCCTCCTGTAGGAGGAAATGCAGAACAGTTCAGTGCTCCTTTTGAGTTTCAAACTCTAAGCAGTAATTCTTTTGATAAAATGCATTCTTTCCTTGTCCCTTGTGTTAACTGTTTGCTTTCTTTCTCATACCAAGGTGAATTCTTTTCTGATCTCTGTTTTCACCTGAGGCTTTGGTGACCATCTGTATAGGTGATGAAACACAACAACAAGTGAGATGCCGAACTGCAAAGTGGCTTTCCTCCCTGCAGGTGCCTGTGGCGCTTAGCAGAGAGCAGCATTAACCTGCGGCCTATCACTCCTAGCAGGAGGAAAGCACCACCGCATCTGAGGAAATGGGCCCCGAGGAGTACAAGGAAGAGCCAGGCAAGACGGTGGCAGATGTCCTGAGCCACTGCCAGGTGGGAAAGCTTGTGCATGCCACGGGACACTGCCCAATCCCAAGTGCAAATTCTCTGTCATGTAAAGGGCAAGTCAGCAAGTCACTGACCTTATGCCACATCAGGCTAGTCCGGTCTCTTTCCCTGGTGTTGTGTATGGCCAACTGTAGTTTGAATAATATCTCTAGGTTAAAATGCTGAAATAGAAATATATAGATTTCATTCTTTTAAAAAATTGAAAAAAGCCTGTTCCTGATCCCTTTCAAGTTATTTCTCTCATTTAGATTGGCCAACATAGAATTAGGTTTCCCTATGGAGTCTTTAAAGGTGATTGGCTGGTGGGGAGGCACTGAAGTAAGTGCCTAATGCACATGAAGATAGCTCTGCTAAACAAAGCGGCCCTTGCCCTTTCAAGAGTGTCTTACATGATTTTAAGTGTTATATAAGCTGGCTTGTTAGACACGATTGATAGAAGTTCGTATTATCAAGGGTTTTGTGAGATGCACACCCAAGAAGTAATGAGAATTCATTTTGGGGAAAAAAAAAGTTTATCTGACTTGTGAAGTGCCCTGAATGAAGTGAGCAGCGCACTCTGAGATAGAAGCGTGCTTGCAGGCATGTCCCCGCATGGTCGCGCTGCAGAGGCCTGGCAGCTGTGCCTCTTAGCCAAGCAGGACCAGGGCTGCAGCTGCTCCTGTTGAGGTTCCCACCTGTCTGAAAGGCCTGCACTGGTGCCCACCGCACTGTGCCAGGCCCGCTCTTCCCGGGGTCCTTAGTCTCATGTTCTTCCCTGGGTCGTGGCACTGACCTCACAGCACTGTCACAGCATGGAGCACTTTGAGCTCATGGTGCTTTTGTTCCCAGAAGAACCCCAAGAACACTTTCCATCCCAGTTTTGTGCACGAGCAATTTGATGCACAGAGAAGTTGAGTTTCCTGCCCAAATTCCTACAGCTAATAAGCAGCACAACTCTAGCCTGGGAGGCCAGCGATGTCCCCAGAGCCCACGCCATTTCCCTCAGAGCCTCCGGCCAGCGGCTCCTACACTTGCATGCGTGTCACACCCACTGGGAGGCCTTGTTACACCCCTGTGCCTGCCCCCGCTCTCCATGCCAGGGCCAGGCCTGAGGACCACAGGGCGCAGTCGGGGCACCAGCTTGTTGTCACTTGGCCTTGGCTCTCCTCAGCTAAGGGGACAGCTCCCCGGGGAGAGCACCTAGTCAAGTAATTCCCACAGGGCAGGCCCTCAATAAATGTTTACTTGAATGAATAAATGAGGAAATGTTTCGGACCTTTCATTTAAGTGTGTGTTTTGTCTGAAATTCATGCATTTCAAGCAGTCGTCCAAGTGCTCTGTGTCGCCCCCTGGTTGAAGTTGGCAGGCCAGCACTCAGAGGGTTTGTATAATTGGCATGACACATAGATGCGTTGGAGCCCGCTCCCACCTCGTCCCCAGGTGCTACCTGGCGCAGGGCTCTCCCCCGCGGCCCCAAGGCCCTGTGCACAAGGTAACTCTGGCCGTGCAGCAAATTTGCACAGTTCTTCCCCCAAATCGCCCCTTCCTAATGAGAACTGACTCCACCAGCACATAGGCTCCTTTCTGATTCTGCACGGGCTCAGAGGGGAGCCAGACTCCTGCCTCAGCTAGAATGGTGTTGTGTGTCCCCTAGCCAGGCACCACGTAGCAAAGCAGACGCTTCTGTGGGCTCCAGCTGTGTATAGTGGGTGAAGCCAGCTTGAATGGCATTTTCACACATGCCATTTTCCTTTTAAAATAGGAACTGCTAATCATTGTTTATATTATCATAGGTCATATATGATGCCATTCAAAACCTGGATAAGAAGTTTGATGCCATTCACATGAAGCTCTCAAAAAGGCAACACAACCGTCGCTCTAAGGTACTCTGGTCCAGTCATGTAAGTATGGGAAAACTCTGCTCGCAGCTCTGATAAAGCCCTGGTGTCCGGGTAGGCCACTCAGAGAGCCAAGAGTGCCAGGAGCGCTGGCCTGCACAAGCCAGCCTGTGTGCACTGCGCCATCAGGTGGGGAGGGCGAGGACCAGGTCCGCCCGGTTACAATGTAGGCTTGCAGTAGAATAAAAACCAGAAGCAAAATAGAGCAAGAACTGGATGCATGCTGCAAGTCAAAGTGATATTAATATATTTGCATTCTATGCTTACTGCTGATTTATGTTGAGTTCGTATTGTTCCAGAAGTACCACGGATATGCATACAGATGTTGTGCTTTCCCCTTTTTTAAGAGAAGGACCCGGAAGCAGAAGAAGAAGGAGGAGGAGAAGGTGGGGCCTGACGGTTCTTTCTCTTACCCTGTTAGTTACAGTTCCCCTTTCCCAGTGCTCAGGCGGGAAAATGACAAGATCCTCGTGTCGCCTTCCTTTCTGCATCAGGAAGCAGGGCTAGCTTCATTTGCCAAGCAGCAGGAGCCCCAAGTGCTTGGAGTGAGCCCCCTTCCGGACCTCTTCACAAAAGCGTGTCCGCAGTATTTCATGGAGGACGCCCTGAGTGCCTTTTCTTCTGCTTCTGCGCTGGCCCCGCCTTGCTTTGCCAGTCCCACGGAGCGCAGCATTGCCAGCATCTTCTCCACCGGGACTGCCGAGCTGCCTCCAAATATCATGGCCGCTGGCGACGGCCTGCCAGCCTCTAACCCGGAAATGCTGAAGTACAACGCTCCAGTGGACTCTGGCCGTTCAGGCAGCTGCTTCCCGTCTGGTTTTGGTGAGTTTCAAGCGACACGCATGATAAGCAGCACGGTTTGAAAGCGTGTCCGTCGGCTGCCTCGGGGTGTGCTAGCGGGGCCCTGGCTTCGTCTCAGGAGTCTGCTGCCCGCTGGCCTGAAGACACGGCAGGTCACGGGGCCACACTGCCGACAGCAGGGCTGTCACGGTGGACTGGGGCCGAAGTCCTCCGCGTGCCCCTTAAACAATTCAAAGGACTCCTGAGGTGGCCATACCTCAGATAGGGAAGACAGGGTAACACACACACACACACATTTGGGTTGATGGTTCTTGGATGGAAAAATGAATTTTCCCAGCAGATTATAAAACCACCTTCAGTGAACACACATACATATTGACTTCATTGGGACACAAGGACATTTCTGCACAACCTAATTAACAGCGAAGCCACAATCTGTTGAGGTATAAATGCTGTATTATTTCATATCTCAGTTACTTGTTTTTGAAACATATAAACGCTTCAATGAAAACATATTTATCTATGCAGACATGAAAGATGAGTGAAATACTCATAGAAAGTCACCTTTGATTTAACTCAGCAAAATTCCATCTTGTTTTCTTGAAAATGCAGGCTAGTGGGGGCTGGCATTGTGGCATAGTCGCTTAAGCCACTGCTTGCAAACAGTGGTATCCTGTATTAGAATACCGGGTCACATCCCAGCTGCTTTACTTTCTGTCCTGCTAATGTGCCTGAGGAAACAAAACAAAAGAAAAACATTCAAATTAGTGTCTAAGCCATTGGAGATGGGAGTCTAATGGAGTAAAAATAATTTTAAAATTTTCACATTAAATCCTGAGGGGAGACTTTGCAAAATCTAGTTTGGTTCTCAAAGGTATTGGGGTCATAGAAATTAATTGATTAAAGAGAAATTTAAGCAATTAGAAAACTGTAATCCTAAAGAATTTCCATCGTATTAACTAGTTAAACTGTAGCTAGACAGAGATGGAGAGAGAGATTGAAGAAATTCATTGACTACTTAGAACGATATTTCGGTTATGTGCTGGATTCGTGGCTGAAGAGACATGGGCTTCTGCAGTGTGGGCGGGGGGCTCCTCCGTCAGCCTGTGGCTGGACTTTAGATTTGGCGTCTTGGGTACTTCAGGACCATTGCTCCCCAGCTCACATCACTTTCTGGATGACGATCAGCTAAGTGTGGCGTGTCTTTTCCCCTCCTATTGAAGCTACAAGCTCACCAATTGAAAATGAGCCCAGTGTCATGAAGTCAGCCTTTGCGGGTGAGCCTTCCGGCTGGAGTGTGGAAGAAGTGCTCCTTTTCCTGAAGCAGAAGGATCCACACCTGGTGCCCTCTATCGCTGACCTCTTCAGGAAACATGTAATGTATCTTTTGACTCAGCTTTCCTGTCAGAATGTCTTCAAATGTTCGAGTGATTTTTTAAAGGTCCTTCAATTGGGTGGTGAGGGAATCCTATCGAGGGATCTTTCCATAAAAGACAAAGGTTGTTTGGCCCATTGCTGGGTCCTTAGGTGATGAGTTCCTGGCCTGTTCTGTGACCGGGCATTCAAGTGGCCCATGCACTAAGCAGCCTCAGGCTCTCAAGAGCCAAACAATCAGCATTGTTACTCCCAGGTGGGCCACCCTTGTGTGGTGGCAGATGCAGCCGCCCTCCTCCCCCGGCCGGCTCTCTGCCCAGCCTCAGACCAGGCACAGGAGGGGGCATGCCCACGAGCTCCCAGAGGGTGGCCTTTAAAAACAGCATTTATTTATTTCTATTTGCAAGGTAGATTTACAGAGAGAGCATGTTCTACTGAGTAAGATTTGAGGCCACACATCTAACGTGCCACTTTCAGGATGGTACTGCAGTTTGTGTCTGATTCGCTTCGGACAACAGCCTGGCATTCCTCATGAAGGCAGCCCCACGCAGCACGCGGACAGCTGGCAGTGATGTCTTGGACAGTGTCCTGTTACTAGCCCTTCTCACAGAGCTAATGACCATTGGAGAGCCAGTTCTACTGTCTATAGATTTTAACCCTTTCTGTTATAAACATGCAATATTGGATACTAGGTAGTTTGATATAGTTGATATAGATGGTGGTTTGAATTTAAGATTAAATTACTTTTTTCTTGCAATGTGCAGTGAATTAATAAAGTATCAACTGGCGTTTCAATTTACAAATTACATTTGAGTGGTCTCCCCGCCAGTAGCTGCTTCCTAGGCGGATGTCGTGGACCTGGAGGGCTGCTCCAGAGTCTCCTTGCCATGTTCTTCTACTTAAAGAAACAAGCATTCTGATGAAATCTGTACTGATTTCTCAAAGTCTCTTCTTCCTGCAGGAGATTGACGGGAAGGCTATGCTGCTGCTCTCGAGTGACCTGCTCATCAGGCACATGGGGCTGAAGCTGGGCACCGCCGTGAAGCTGGGCCACACCATCGACAAGCTCAAGGAGAGATGCATCAGCATTTAAACATGTAGCACTTCATACATTTGAGGGTACCAGTGTGTTCTTAGAGTAAAATGATTTTTCTGCTTTTGTAGGTTCTTGTAAAACAGATATCTGTAGTACAGCCAGAATTTCAGAAATATGTTATATTTAATGTACTTTAGAGCCATGAAACATTAGTATTTGCAAATTCAAAAAGGAAGTTCATTTTCTGTCTTTTCATTATTTGCATTGAGTAGTTTAGAAATATACTCCATGCAGGAAGCAGCAAAACCCTTTCATTTTGGTTCATCTTTATAGAACCAAAGCAGCTAACGAGGACATTTTTATCAGGGATTGACAACTTCTAATGATACTGATATTTTATGTGATTTATTCTGCAGTATACTATTCATATTCTATCAGTTTCCACAAGTAGAATAGCCATAAAAGTTATTATTTTCCTTTCCATTATTAGTTCTCTGTATGTTGTTTTAATTAATATTTGTTTAGAGAAAAATAGAACATGAAATATTATGAAATATTCTTGCCAGGTTTTCGATAGCTTATAGATAAGAGTGGTGGTTTTCTGCAGGAGGCATTGTACTGCAAGGGGAGTTGCATGGAGTCTGCATTTTCTTGCACAAAAGCACCCGTTTTAATGCTTCCATATTTGTGCCATACTTGCCCATTTAACTATGTATTCATTGTTCACATGTGTCTCTCTCTGAAGATACTACCTATTTATTCCAAAAATTTAAAGGCCTAGATTTTATTTATATGTATTTTTTATCCTCATATGAATACTGTTCATATTAAATGTTATTCTATATTTGAAGTATGCAAAAATACGTCTTTTAAAACAGGAAATGGCATTTTGTACTGTGACAGAAGTCATGATGCACTATATCTGGGGGAGACATTTTCATTCTGTGAAATGTGCCTTCGTCAGCTGCTCTCCCTGCTATCTCTCTGCCCCAGGCTGGGGCTAAGAGACAACCTGCTGGTTGGCTTCAGTGTGGGAAGGCCCCGTCCTGAGTGGGTCTCTGATGGATCCACCTGCACCTGAGCCATCTGTCCCACTGTACTTTGAAGCGAACTTTAGTTTTTGACTTATTGTTTTGGGCTTCATTTAATAAGGACTCTCAAGGGAAACATAGTCAATGTTATTATTTAGTTGTTACTCATCGTTGTTTTGTGCTTAATATGTTATCTCTTGTTAGTGTGTTGTGTAACTGTAGGTATAGTGTTTATAAGCTATGAAAAATTGGTGCTAATACATTAAACATCCATTACACATGCCAGCAAAATGTGTTCCCCAGGGGTGAGCACGTACATTTTCTGTTTAGAAAAGCAAGTTTTTAAACATACTTGAGTCATGAATGCAACTACTTGAGGAATGATTTCATCTGCTGTTCCTTTTATACAATGAGTTTTTTGCTTGCACTTTTTATCTTTCTTCAAATTGTGTGAAGATGCTATGTCCAGTTCAACGTTCCTCAGGTGTTTGTATTAGATATAATCCTACACCTGTTGGATTTTAAAATAAAGTTAACCACAGCAGTTACTACCAATGCCTCAGATTTCATTTCACTTACTTCCACCCCATTCTATTAATGCATAAATTTGTTAAAGTTGAAAAGAGCAACTCCAGTAAGTTTTGGCTTTTATACTGTCCAAACATAAGTTTTTAAGCCTGCCCCAATTCTGTTTGCAGATGCCTGGGAGCAGAGGGCTGCTCTGTTAGAGGGACCTTGGGAGCCTGTAAAAAATTCAATCCATGAACTTTGTGTTCAAAACCTTTAGTGCTTATTGTCAATTATGTGGACATGCTAGAAAATGCCAGTGCTTACCCTGTCCACCCCCAATTCCTCCTCCCACCTGAGTTTGCACATCCGACTGGCAACTCTGGCTGGTATCCACGGGCCTCTCATGAAAGCAAGCCCAAGACCAGCTACAAGGAACAAACATGTGCATCACACAAACCTAACATCAGAAGCAGCAAGCTTGCCTCTGCCATATGGTGACGGTCATGCTGAGCGGCAGCAACCCACCGTGGGACAGTTGACACAGAAGAGCAAAGCCCAGGAGGCAGGGACCACTGACAATCATCAAGGAGGTGGACGTCCCACGCAGGAAGTTTCAAACCTAGAAAGTAATGAAAGAAATGTGAACTAAAAGTGTATGTGGTTCTTCACTTTTCGTGCATTTAGGGAAGATCAAAGCCTACATTAAATACTTCTCCTAAAGGGACATAAATCTGGGCTAGCATGACCAGTGGCACTTGGCACTGCATATGTAAAGCCTGAAAAATACACAATCCTATTGACTTAGTAATTTCACTCTTGGCTGTTGATTGTAAGAAAGTAACCATCTGCTCAAAGTGTAAGCTTAAGGTTGTAGCAAGCCTATTCAGCAAAGTATTGTTAACAATAGCAAAGAGTTAATAAACCACAGCAGAAGAACTGTTTAAATTCTGTTCTGTCCAGTCTGTGGGATGCATTACAGGCATTAAAAAGTTATGTGGCAGGAAAGTGATTTATTCCCATAGAAAGACTCATGATATGTTGATCAAAGCAGGTCACAGCCAAGGATGTGTAGCCTTACTTCTCTAGGGGATTCTGTTGTGTGTTTATATACAGATGTGTTTACATGTCTAGAAGACATTTGGGGAGATATACATGAAGCTGTTTATAGTGCACTTCTCAGATTGAGTGGGATTTTGCATATGTTTCACTTCATTTTGCTTATCTTTACTTTCTGATTTCTCTACAGTGTATTGCTTTTATAATAATTGTTTAATTACAAGAACACAGACCATACCATGTCCAAATCAGAATGAAAGATAAAAGGAAAGAAAACATTGCTATTTAGCATGTGGCAGAAACACCAAAAAACATGAGGAAAAAAGCATAACATATGTCAGAAGACTGACTTAATTTAATGATATGATGGGTTAAATGCCTTCATTTAAAAGATGGAAGGATTAATTTTAAAGCAACCATATGCTTTCCCATACCTTGTCATTTGCCTCAAATATTAATAATAAGCTGGACAAAATTAACTAGCAAGTAAACAAAAAGGAGGCCATACTAATAATACTTATTGAGAAGAGGTAGAATTACAGGCAAAAAGCAATCAATGCATCAAGACTCACGATATACTTATAAGTTCAAGTACAGGTCATAAACTAGTTAGTGTACAATCAGTTAAATAGAATAAAAAAGTAGAAAGCAAAACCAGGTAGACCATAAGGATAATTTAATCAAAATGCAATAAAAATGACTTTCTCCCTCAGCCTTTCGTGTTCAGAAAATTTAATGGTAGATATCAATCAATTCGGAAAGACATTACTCTTGAAAATCAGATTCATTCACAGAATATATTGTTTTCAGGAATCCACAAGCCCTTCATAAAAAAGTACCTACCACGCTACCTAGAACACTGAATTGAACACAGTACAAACTATAGTGAGAACACAACTTCACTAGTTAATGGGACACTGACAGCAAAATCAGTAGTCACTGCCTCTAGTTTTCCAATCCTTGCTTCTTCCTAGATGCCCATTGGCCTTGAGTTCCAGGCTGTGTATCCAACTATTGGCTGATGGCTCCGCCTGCTCACACTCCACCTATCATACCCATCACTCCTCAGTCTTTTAGCACCTTCTCCTGGCCAATCCATCTTGTTCTGCCTCTCATTCCTACTTTGTTGATGGCACCCTTGCCTATTTATACTTCAAGTCGCCCAACATCGTGACTGCAAGTATCAAGTTCAACTCCTTGCTGGCCATAGCACAGCTACCCCGAGATCCCGGGTCTCAGGCACCTGCCCCTCATGGAGTCTCCTGCTCTTGCGGTCTTTTAGTCTGTCGTTCCTGAAGACTTGAGCCAGGCATTTCAGAAGTGCTAAGTTTCTTCCCCTGTGAGAGCTATAGGGTTTAGAACAGTTTCTTGTACATATTGACTTGTTAGAGGTTGGCTGAACAAGAACACAAAAGCAAAATTCCTTTTCAAAGGCATTCTTAGGGTCTCTTTTCCAGCAGGAACCACAGGATACTGAAGAGAAGAAAAATGATCTTTCTGCAATGTTTGAAATGCTTATGAAAAAGCAAGGGACTCTAACAGACGTGAAACTCAAGTGCCGGAGAAAGACACTGGCCTGAAAGGCGCTTGTGCAGGAGGAAGCTCAGCGGGGTCCCAAGCAGCACGGGCAGGTGTGCACAGTAATGCCCTGTTAGGTAAGTGTGGCAAGAAAAGCTGCTAGTGAGGTGACTTAGTCCTCAGGGCTTGGATGGACGGACCTCCCGGCAGTGTGGCAGCTGCTGGGGGAATCTGAGCCAGGTCAGACTCAATCCTTGAGGCAGCCACTGCTGCCAAGCAATGGGCGACTCCGGAGCTTGCCTGGGTCCAAGAATTTTCTTCCCTCACAGCAAATACACTGTGAGCAGAACTCAGCAGCCCGAATCCTCGGCTCCACCCACTGCTGCCATCTTGTGGGGGGCAGGTGAGTTCTTCATCAGGGCATGGATGGAGGAACCTCCCCACAGCATGGCAGCTGCTGGGAGCACCTGAGCCAGGTTGGATTCAATGCTTGGGGCCAGAGCCCCAACCACTGCTGCCAAGCAGTGGGTGAATTCAGGGCTTGTTGGCGGTTTCAGTGCCAACTGGTGCTGGGGTTTACCAGATGGCTGCCCTGCAGCGAGCTCTGGGCTCTTAAGGGGGTGGAATTACTGCCTGGGGACATGCATGGATAAGGCCTCTGTACATGTATGTCAGGAATGACTCCTTAGGGACTCCCAACAACAGGGCCACTGTACTTGCAGGTAAGCAAGGGGACTGAGACCTGGTAGTTTGGAGGGGAGAGACCCGTATGGGTCAGACTGATATACCAGCCCACATGGGAGTCCTGAGTAGGGCTTGTGAGCATGGAACATTGCTGACCACCACACCAGTCCACATGAAAGCTAGGGCTGTCTAGCAGAGCTAGATCTCAGTACCAGACTGAATATCAGAATAGGGCCAGGTCACATTAGGCAGGGTCAT